AGTGCTCAAGACGACAGAGAAGATTCAGCAGGTCCGGAGCAGGCTTCAGACTGCTCAGAGTCGGCAGAAGAGTTATGTCGATAGGCGCCTATCAGACTTGGAGTTCCAGGTTGGGGATATGGTTCTCCTGAAAGTGTCGCCTTGGAAGGGCGTCATCCGATTCAGGAAGCGGGGCAAGTTGGGTCCCAGGTATATTGGACCGTTTAGGGTTGCAGCCCGAGTGGGCAAGGTGGCATACCGGCTGGATCTGCCAGCCGAACTCAGTCAGATCCACAGCACTTTCCACGTCTCCCAGCTGCGGAAGTGCCTGGTGGACGACTCAGCGGTGGTACCTTTGGAGGACATCCAGGTTGATGACAGCCTGAATTATATCGAGCGGCTTGTGGCTATCCTAGACCGGAAGTCGAAGGAACTGAGGAACAAGAGGGTGGAGCTGGTGAAGGTGCAATGGCAGCACCGGAAGGGCTCGGAATGGACTTGGGAGCCCGCGGATGAGATGGTGGAGCATTATCCGGAGCTGTTCCGGGAGGGAGCGGCAGACTTCGAGGACGAAGTCTAAAATAAGTGAGGGAGATTTGTAACACCCCGGATTCCTGGTACGATTTTATTTAAGTATTTTCTTAAATTTTTGCCATGAACTTGGCGAGTCTGCGTCCCGACTCGCCGAGTAGCAGCGAGGTGGACACGGGATTTAAGCTGGGAACTCGGCGAGTCGACATATGGACTCGGCGAGTCCACCTGTCTGGATGAAACTCTATTTTCAGACATTGCACCCTATTTTACCCATTCAAAAACACCCATTTCATCCCATTTTCCTCCCAGAGAGCAGTAGAGAACAACCCTAGCTCCTTTAGTGTTCTTGAGTGATTTTGATCTTCCAAAGAAGGTTTTGGAGCTTAGAAGAAGAAGGAGGAAGTTGGAGTGTTCCAGAAGTGAAGGTAGATCCGAAATCTACTCTGGGGAAGGCATCAAATCAGGTAATAAAACCCTCACTTTGCTCATTAGCTCTTAGGTTCCTTTTTGTCCCCAATGGTTGATCTTCAAGCCTTAAAACCCCCAGATTTCGTGTGTATATGTGATAACCAGACCCTAGGAACTGAGACCCATGAGTTGGATCAGTTGCATGTCTCAGATTTGGCCAGATTGGGTGAAGAGTCGAAGGGAACTCGGCGAGTGCCAAAGTGCACTCGGCGAGTTCCATGAAGATGGCCTTAGACTCGACGAGTTGGATGAACAACTCGGCGAGTCCTATGAAGATTTCCTGGTACTCGGCGAGTCGTTCTTCAAACTCGGCGAGTCCCTTGAATATAGCCTTGAACTCGGCGAGTTGTTCTTCAAACTCGGCGAGCCATATGAACTGTCACTAGGATAAGAAGGGTTTAAGTGTAGGAGGTCCAACCCTTCGTAGTCGCACGTGGAATTAGCAATTTAACGTGTAGCTATAGTCCCAGAATCTCCAAATCTCCAAGGTTGATGTTCTGATGGAAGATTGGAGCGAATTGTGAGATCTGTTCGTCGAACTCGGCGAGTCCCCCCTTGGACTCAGCGAGTCCAGTCGCGGGTTTGTTAGTTGTCCCCGTTTAGCGAGTCAGGCTGACTCAGTGAGTGGGAACAGGGACCCGATGAGTCAGAGTCGGGCTAGACATAGAAGGACTCGGCGAGTCGCTATATGGACTCGGCGAGTCGCTATATGGACTCGGCGAGTCCAGTCAATCAGAAGTTGACTTTGACCAGTCATTTGACCTAAGGGGTATTTATGAGTACCTAATCCATGATTACAGATTTATAGCCGGAGGGTTACCGGTGCGGCAGCCAGGCGTAGGTTGAGCGGGTTTTCAGCAGCTACCCTCGAGGTGAGTTACCTTCCAGTAGAAGTGGGTCTAAGGCCACAATGTCGGCCCACTAGTAGGAGTCGTATGATAGATGACTGTCTGTGTGATAATCATCTAGGTTTGTTGCTACCTGATATGCTTTATGTGCTAGCAGATTATGATGTATGGGTTATGTGATATGTTATTATGTGGTAGCAGTAGTAGGGGGGTGAAACAGTCCCCGATCCGGTCGACAGGACCGAAGGGGTAGGCCAGCACCCAGATATGCTAGGCAGTATCCGGTCGACAGGACCGAAGGGGAAGGTCGGGCACCCAGAAATGCCCGGCAGACATGTATGCTATGTGATTGTATGGTATGAGGTTCGTTGGGGGAACTCACTAAGCTTCGTGCTTACGTTTTATAGTTTTGTTTTTAGGTACCTCTTCAGCTAGGGGAAGGGAGTCGGCGCGGTAGCAGCATATCACACACACTCTTGTTTCCGCACTATGGATTTTCTGGGATGTACTCTGAATATTTTACTATGATGTTACCGGTTTTCAGACATGAATTAATATTATGAATGTTTTGTAACGATGTTTTTATGTATTAACCTAATTTAAAAATGAAATTTTTAGCTGGTATTTTTGGGATGTTACAGAACTTACACACTATAACAAGAACAAGATAACTAAAATGTGAGATACTATATCTTGGCATAGCAATATTCTTGTTGTGTCACGTTTTGTAACCAGAGTATCCTGGAGGGAGAGCGTGAGTTTGTGTATAGATCTATATGGGATTGACTATCCCACACCTTGCTGCTAGCTACAGTGGGACTTGCAAGTCTACGGGTGACGGATGTCATATCATTTTCGACGCCTGAAGAACGTCGTGTTTTATACTAGTCAATCAAGCATGGTTATAACCTAATCACATTTTAACCTTAATTAACCGGTTTGGCTTCAAGGTAGTTAATGCATCAATAGTGTATTTTATACAATACTACTGTAAATCTTCATTTTCCATTACATTCATACAGTGATATTCTCACATGAAAAAGGCATACTATTTTTCTAGTAAAGATAGTTTTACAAATATGGAAAACACACATTTTATACTATTTCAAATATGGAAAACACATGAAAAGATAGTTTTACTTTTATACAGTGATATTCTCACATGAAAAAGGCATACTATTTTTCTAGTAAAGATAGTTTTACAAATATGGAAAACACACATTTTATACTATTTCAAGTACAAACATACATTTTACACTATCACAAGAGAACAAACATACAAACAGTTGGGTCTTGGGTAAAAGACTACTTTTCATTTAAGAAGAAAATATAGGATTTTCTGGGAAGATACAAACATTTTCACTAGACAGATACAAACATTTTCACTAAACAAATGCAAACATTTGACACTAAATACTTATGAACTCACCAACTTAAATGTTAATACTCTCTTTCAAAATAACTTGTATTCTCAGGGAACCAGTAGACAGGTACACTGGACTAGGTCTGAGAAGACGGGGCATGTTCAAGACTCGTCTTTTATTTTGATATACTTTTGGTGTCTTACAACTATACACAGAACCCACATGTATTAACTATTCTATTAATGCAATGGATGTTGTTTCTTGTTTTACTATTGTGCATTGTTATGATACTTTACACGACGTCCTCCGCCCCCGAACGTTTCCGCCATTCCGGTTTGGGGGTGTGACTTCTCTGACCCTTCGAACAAATCTTGAAGTGTATCCCAAATCTCTTTTGCGGTTTTGCACAGTTTGATGTGCTCAAAGAGAGAATGTGGAACACCAAACACCATTTCGGAAAAGGAAACTTGATCTGCATGCAGCTTTTCAAGATCATCAGTAGTGAGAGGTGCTTGACGTTGTTGATCCTGTCCCAAGAGAGTTGCAGCAGCATCTCTAACAATGGTTCAAACTGGAACATAGGGACCTTCTTTAACGGATCTCCAGATAGATTCACTTTTTTTCTTTTCCAAGTAAAAATCTTTCCATTCTGACTTTCCAATGATCATACTCTTCAACAAGTAGCAGTGGGGCACGTGTAGGGCAACCCACACTATTTGCTATTTGCATTGAGTACATTTGTTGAGAATTAGAAGCAACCATTGAAGTTAAGATATCTTGAGAAAAAGTGGTATATAGAAGAACTTTTATCCTGGACACAGAAATGATCGAAATACCAAGGTAATCTCGAATCAACTATAATACGTTCGTATGGATTCAAAGGACAACCAATCAAGCTCTAATACCAATTGTGAGAACAAGGATCTGATTGTGCAGTGACAAGGCACGAAATCTCAAACCTTGAGTTAATGCTTAAGATTAATGTCTACTTCTGATTAACAGTTCCAGTCAAGTCTGGCAAGACCAATCGAGACTTGAAGATGAGAATCAACAAAGTACTTCAAGTATTAAATATAGAATAATGAGTATAATCAAGGTAAAGACAATAAATGAACAAGTAGAATGTTTGAAAGAGTTTGATGTGGGAGAAAGATGCAAGTGAAGTAAATTCAAATATATCTATCTTTGGAGCAACAATCCGCCATATATTTTTGACATTAAACACTCCTTAAATAGGAGAAAGGAGTACATCGTACAAACTCAAACACATACATAGGACCGGACAAAAGAGTTACTTCTGAAACTCTGATTATCCATTTTGACAAAATAAACTAAGTCCTATGTACTGTTACATCAATACTAAAATACAAGAATAATTAATGCATAGACTGATAGATTGGTTCAGACTTATTCTTCATTTCGGAACATCTTCTCTTTGAACATACTCTCTGCTCCGGACACAAACTTCACCTCTGACCATAGACTGACTCCGGACCATATTCTACTTCGTAACTAAGACTGACTTCGCAACATCCAAAGGTTAGAGATTGCTAGAGGTTCACTTTCAGGTTCTAACACTGACGGTTATGCTAGTCCTTATGATGATCCCTATAACCGTCTTTTCATCGGCGTTTTCTTTAATAGGGGTATAGTATCTACCAACCACATTGTATGCCCGTTAATCTTTACAGATTATTATTATATATATTTGGTGTTTAATCCTCCATTTCACCATCTGTCATTTCAGTTAGCCTCATTCTCCTTCTTCTGTCGTTCTTATCTCTCGTCTCCTTTTTCTTTTCTGATTATGGCGAGCACTAGGATTTCTCACATTGGGATGGTAAAATCCAAGTTAACCATTCGGACCATGGGTACGCTTGTTCGGAAGTATAACATTGACCCCAAGTTCCATCCTCGTCTGCCGGAGGCCACCGATGCAATTACCGACGCCTCTGAAGGGTTTGTGGGGGTTTACCAAGTGTTCTTCGAATCCAGGTTGCGTCTTCCTGCTTTTGATATTCTAGAAACTGTTCTGGATTATTACAGTCTGCACATCATCCAAATAACCCCTAACGTCTTTCGCAAGATCCTCTGCTTCACCCTGTTGTGCGTCGCTCTGGATGCGTCGCCGACCATCAACCTGTTTCGTTATTTCTATATTTTGATGTCCAACGGGGATTGGGTTTTTTTCTCCCTTCGCCATGGTTTGGTAGAACTTTGTGACGACCTCCCAACCTCCATAAAGTATTGGAAAGATGAATTCTTTTTCGTTGATGCATTTACTTTCTCAGGCCCCATGGCGTACGATGCTACCGCTGACAGGGCCACTGACCCTGTGCCAGAGCTATCGTCCGACGAGCAACTGATAACGGAGAGGTTATCGGACAATTTTGTTCGATGGGTGGACCCCGACAAAGAGATGTTGGGTATGCAGCGGCGGAACTAATATATAGTCAGGGGTAGCACGTGCTACCCCTTATTTTCTTCCCACAAGTCATAAAAATGTTAAACCATTTTATTATAAATAAATATAGTGCATCAGCTAAATACAATTAGCCCATTAAATACTAAATGAATAATTAGCCACAAGGCGCATTTGCCATTTTCCTTTTCCTTTACTGATACTATGTATGTAAATATACAATTCACCATATAATCAAATCCCTTAACACATAATAATTTTATTGAGATATATTATATACATTAAATATGTAGTTACGTACTATAAAATTTTATTTAATTTCACACCTCATTTTTATAGCTAAGAAAACAAGCAAACAAGCAACCATAAAACTGAAATAAATAAATAAAATATTAATCTTATTCGGGTGAACCAAACCAAACTCGCTTAACCCAAAATCCGTTTAACCCAAGGTTAATAAGGTTCGGTTTGGTGGCCATATCAAACCGGAAAACATGGTTATTTCCTTTGGTTAACTTGTAAACGTAAGACTTTTGTATTAGTTTGTTACACACAATGAAATCCAAATTTAAAAAAAAACAACATAATTATCTTATTATCTTTTATTTTGGATTTGTTTTTGTGCTACCCCTTACAAAAGTTTTTGGTTCCGCCACTGTGGGTATGGCTAGCATGAGTCTCCATTGGAATCGTTTGGATAAGAAGCTAGTGGAGGTATTCGAGGGAAAAGGTGTAACCCTTCTTGACCGACTTCACGGGAGACGGATTGCGAACTCCACCCTAGCGACGGAGGAGGTGATAGCGTCGGATTCCCTGACTAGGTCAGAGCCTTGCATGGACTCTGCCCTACATGCTTCTCGAGCGGAGGGCTCTAGACCTATTCCTCCTAACCTTCACTCGAAGGGCGTGAAATTGGATTTCGACTTTGGCAAGCCTCACGCGGTATTTACGAGGGCTACATCGAAAGGGTTCATCCTAAATAAGTGCTCGGAGAGTGCACAAGACGATCAACTGATCATGATGTCCCCTACCAAGCGGAAGCGTTCTGGTCGTGACTTAAAAAGTCGAAGCCTGAATGATCTATTTGATCCTCTGGCTCCTGATGCTATAAGTTCTGAGCGTACCCCGGAAGATCCTGTTGCTACCATTTTTCACGAATGTCCAATCGGGCTGGACAACAAGATGAAGTGTGTGGAGGATGAGGCAGAGGTGCCTCATTTGGGCAAAGCATAATTGGAGACCGTTACTGGAGGCCTCCCGGAGAAGGTTCCTGAGGATCACCCTTTGAACAAAGAAAACCCCAAGGTTTTGTCTGTTGCAGCTGTGTTTCAACAAAAACTTTTGGGGTCCGGACTTGGTCACTTTATCGCACCAACTACCGACTCCTCGGTAGTTATTCCTATTCCCATTCCATCTGATACCTCAACTGGGAATGAAGAGCCTTTGGAAACAACATCCGCAAATATGGAATTCAGTATCCCGAATCCTCCCCCCTTGACAAACTGTATGTTCCCTTTCTCACTTTGTCAATGCTTGCTTTTTTGTATGCTTTAGATCCTTGTTGCGAGTCACTTATTTATTTATTGCGTAGCTATTGTTATTATAGGAAAAAATAGGCCACGATGCCAACGCTGGTTACTCTTGCTGCTTTACTTCCCCAGTTCTAACATCCTTTTGCTATGACAAGTGTTCCCAAGAACCCATTTGAGATGGGTGTTGCGTCTGATGAAGAAGCGTTAGATAGGGCTCGATCGTGTTTGATGAAGGGGATGCACTTATTGAACGAAGTGTCTGTACGCATGAAGGCGTGTTCAGAACAACTTTCTCAGCGTCAAATCGTGTTTGACGAAGCTCTGGAATGGGTAAAACAACTTCGGACTCTTCACGAGCAAACATAACAGGAAGCTAAGGGGCTGAAGGAAGAGGTAGTTGTTTTGTCGGAGAGAAACCAAAGTTTGGTGAAATATTTTAGTCAAGCCCTTGGCCAGCAGGAGGAGCTGAAAAAAGCTGAATCAGGATCTGCAACTAAAGTTAGATGACGCTGTGAGCCACCGTGAATCTTCCGTCAAAGAAGTCGAGGGTATCTCTCAGCAGTACCATTCCCTGATGTTGCAATATACTGAGAAGGTTTCTCAGTTGGAAATTGCCCGCTCTAGCAAAGATGTGAGCATTAAATTGCTAGATGAGGAATTAGTCGTGGCGAAGCTCCTGATGCTGGAGAAAGATGCTTGAATTGCCACCTTGAGCGACTCACAACTTCTGATGGAGCAGAATATAGCAAGTTGCAAGACGGGAGTAGATCAATAGGCTGAAGAGCTGCGATGGGTCATGAAGGAAGGAATCCCCACCTTTGTTTGGGCTTTGTTGGATTCAAGCGACTTTGGTGTTGTGAATGCCGCTTTACATACATCTGCTATCCAGGTTAGCCTCCATCAAGCCTGTGTGGATATGAAAGAAAAGTACACCGAGGAGCTGAAAGGTAAGAATGTTCTGTACTCGTATCCAGATGCACAACGTCAAATTTTGGAACGTTTTTCTGAGATGATGATGTATAAGTACTCTCTAGTGTTTGCTTCGAAGAGCAAGGAGATGGACGTGGGTGGCTTGAAGAAGTGGCTGAAGGTTGTGGATTCTTCAGGGGCAGATGAAGTTCCTTCTTCTTTAGGGGCGAAAGATGGAGTTGGATTAGGGTAGGAATCGGGAATTGCTTTTTTTGTACTAATTTGGATGTTTGAACTTTTAAGCGTAACCTTTATTTTGCTGATGCTGTGGGGCAGTTTTTTTGTTATCTTGTAATGACACTTTGCTAAATGACAATGTGATCTTCCTCTATTTAATCGAATCATTTTACCTCTTACCTGTGTAATTGTAAGAATTATTTGTGATTTCGATTGTCCTCCTATCTGCAATGGTTAGCATCCAATTTCGTATTAACTAAAGCGTTTGTCAGACTTTGAAATGCTCCTTCCGTTAACTCGAATGGTATGCTTAGTATATGACTCGAACCATTGGGTTTAACTAGGGTTCAAGTAATAAGAACATTGAGCCGTAATTTGTAGAATTATGGCGATATTTGTAAGTTGCTCGAACCATTAGGTTTAACTAAGGTTCGAGTAATAAGAACATCGGGCCATAATTTGGAGGATTATGGCGATGTTTGTAAGTTGATCGAACCATTAGATTTAACTATGATTCGAGTGATAAGAACATCGAACCATAATTTGGAGGATTATGGCGATATTTGTAAGTTGCTCGAACCATTAGGTTTAACTAAGGTTCAAGTAATAAGAACATCGGGTCATAATTTGGAGGATTATAGCGATGTTTGTAAGTTGCTCGAACCATAATCAATCAAAATGCCCAGCCAACTCAAAAAATAAACACGGTATAAGCATATGTAAGAAAATGTTGAGCAATGAAGAATAAGGGTTGTGATGGCAAAGAAACCTACGTGATTGACTTTTGGACAAAGAAGAGAAAGTTCGTGATGTTCTTGATTTTAACATAGCAGATGTTCGATTTCTACCAAGACCATGCATTTTTCATACCCCAACCCTTGAATCGTAGGTGTCAGGGTAACCAAAGAACCGAAGTGTGTACTGGGGCATGAAGGAGGGCTACGAGTTACATGAAGAATCGAAGAACACCTGTGATGGTGAAGAAACTTGTGTGACTAACTCTTTTATAAAGAAGCTAAACTTAAAAGAATTAGACGGAATGAAAGACTTGAAGTCAAGCGAAACGAAAATTATGGAGGTTAAGAGATTGGAGACGGGGATGGATGTAATTGAAAAATCCAATGTTTTTTTTTTTGGAGACGACGGCTAAAAAACAGAGAAAATGATTAGGTCTATTTTTTTAGAGAAAGAGGGAAATATAATTTTTTTTATAGAGGGAAAAATGTTGAAATTTTAGTAAAGAGTGAAAATTGAAATTTTTTAGAAGACGAAAAAAATTGAACTCCCCCAAATACTGGTTTCATTTTTCAACACTGTCATCATAAAACACTTATAGTGAAATGTTTTTTTTTCTTTTATTGTTACTATTTTTTACTTTTGGACACACATAAAAATTAAAATGTCACTATAAAATACTTTTAGTTACATGTTTTATTTTTTTAAATGTTATAATAAAATACTTATAGTCGCATATTACATATGAAATTAAACTGTTATCATAAAACACTAATAATCACATGTTTTTTTTTAAATGTCATAATAAAATACTTAGAGTCATAATGATCTAACGTGACTATTGGCTAGTATTTGTCACATTTTTTATGTAAAACAGTGACAAAATGTGTGAACATAGTTTGCAATGGTGACGGTTTTTACTAGTGTTGGTGACATTGTGTGATGATAAATATTACTGAAATTTGATTAATGACCTTTAGTGATGCAAATAAACAAAACCTTTTTTAAAAACCGTTCCCATTGGTCCTTTTTATACTAGTGAAATTTACATTAATCTTCAAACTCAATGACATCATTTTGCTTGATGCTTCAACTTCATATGAATATCAAAGAAATTAGTTTTCAACAAATCGTTGGAGATATTTGGTTTAATTCATAAAAAAAACATTTGAATGTGGAATTAAGAAATAATAGAAACATTCTTTCAGTGTTATCTTGGGTCCACAATGTTATTTTATCGATGGATTCCCATATTGACAAAGATTTGGAAGATGATACTGAGATTGTTCCATCATATTGGGGCCAGAAAGAGAAAGATAAGAGGAGGAGGACATTAAACTTAATTTGGGTTTAACCTTCCTCAAGCTTTAATTCTCTTTATCATAACCCGAGTTCAAAACCTTCCTCAAGCTATCGTATGTTATATTTCAGCTTAGAATATGTTTATTAGTTGTGTCAATGGCAAATGCATTATGCGTTGGAGGTGTTGATTTAAAAAAAATGGTTTTGTATTTGATTTAAACATGTATTGGTGATGATTTTGATATGTAATTTTAATTATCGCTTGATTTTAAGTTTTAGTAATTTTTATTTAACAAAAGTCAAGAAACAAAATAGATGGAAGATAAATGGTGTAAAATGATTTAAAACCTTTCAATATGTTGTGTAAGTAACTATACTTAACATATTAATTTAAACGGTATATAAAACTTGGCATGATTTTACACAAAACTATTTTGTATATCAACTACAACCTTCATATCTATTGGACTGAAGCTGTAAACTACGCAATACTATAGGGACAATTCTTAATTTACCCTCCTAAATATCACGCGTTAAAAATAAATTAAAAATGAAGCCACTTGTCAAAGCCTCCTTCCTCTACCACGCAAACCACCAGCTGGTAACCCCACCACAGAGACTCCACAAAAATCTATATATACATCGCAATTCTCATATCAACAAGTTAAAGTCACTCACAAACACTCCCAACAAACAATTGCTTCACTCATAAGTCATAACTTGCAAAAACTACCAACAAACCGTAACTTGACCTCATATATTGCTCACACTACCAACGTATGGATGCCTTTATCGAATCGTACAACCCATTTCCATCAGTATCATCAGAAAGTGTTCCATTAGCTTACTTTTTGACCTCAAATCGTAGCAAAAGCTCAGTCTTGAATGCGGCTGCTGAATCCGAAGTGATGCTGGCTTCACGAAACCCGAAGAAGAGGGCCGGAAGGAAAAAGTTTAGGGAGACTCGACACCCAGTTTACCGAGGAGTGAGAATGAGGGATAACGGGAAGTGGGTTTGTGAGTTAAGAGAGCCCAACAAGAACTTGAGGGTGTGGCTAGGGACTCATCCTACTGCTATAATGGCAGCAAGAGCACATGATGTGGCGGCGCTTGCCTTCAGAGGACGACGAGCTTGTTTGAATTTTGCTGATTCTGTTTGGCGGCTTCCGATCCCGAAGTCTAGCAGCATACAGGATATACAAAAGGCCGCTAAAGAAGCTGCGGAGGCTTTTAGATACACTGAGGAAGAGGTGGAGATTGTGGAAACGAAGGAGTTGCCGGAAATTCTGTATTACGTGGATGAAGAAGATATTTTTGAGATGCCGGAATTTTTTGTCAGCATGGCGGAGGGACTGATGGTAGCGCCTCCGCAGACAGTGGGATATGACAGTTATGAGGATAACGTCGAATTTTTTGTTGACGAGTCTTTATGGACCTTTTAGATTTAGTGAGCGTATATACTCACATTTACTCTTTTTGAATTTAAATAGATTGTTGATTAATTTTCCCTCATGACTAGTTGATTTTTGTAGACTAGCCAATGAGATACATATAGTATGCACAACACATTTGCATTGTAAAAAAAGAAATATGAAATCTATAAAATAATTGGGTTAGACAGGTTAAAAAACGAGTTCCGAGTTTGGTAAAAATCCCCTTTTTATATAATATATTCTCAAAGTAGATATGGAAAAACCACGATCCAAGTACTATCATGCTTTAATGTATTTAATTTAAATTATTAAATCATGAATAATGAAACATTGATATTTTCTGTCATAATGTAATAGGCGGAGGGGATAGGGGTAAGGGGTAGGAAGGTGCATAGCCCCCTCCCCCCTCCCCCCGCCCCCACCCACCCCACCCAACTTGTCTGATGCAAATTCTCAAATATTGTATTTATGTCCCTCTTATTTACAATTTATTTTCTATTTTTATCATTTTTATTTTTGAAGAACTATTTTACCTCCTTGTTCCTCAGACGTGAGAGCGAAAGTGTGAGACATTTAATTAAACTTTCAAATGTTACATGACCCTTTTATTTACAACTTAATTTCTATGACCATTATTTTCACTTATGAAGAGTTACTTTTAAATCAATTTTTATACTAACATTATAAATTAAAGTTTTACCTAAAAATTAAAAAAAATGGTTTTTATATGTTTTACTTGGTAATGATTATAAATATCTCTACCGGACTCTTATTCTAGAATTCTAGCTTTGCTTATGGATATGTTATATCGCTGATGATAAATTATATCAATATCAAATTCATGATGTAAATTTACAACTGTCTAACTTAATTAATTGAGATCACAAAATAAATAGATAAGAAAATATTGGTTATCAAGTTGAGATGTCACTAATACCATCTATGAAAACAGAATATTGACTTTGATATCCAATATCAGTTATATTTTATAAAATAAATCAAATTAACTAGATTATAAACATGTAACAACATATACAAACTCAATGAAACCAAATAATCAACATGTAACGACATATATAAATAATTCAAAAACAATAAAGACATGTTAAAATAATAAACAAATAAATAATTTCAATTTATTTAAAATAGATAAACACATTAACAACCAAATTTAAGTTACTTTAAATTCATATTACATATATAACAATATAATATACATGTATTGGTAGATTGGAGCAAAACCACCATGCATGAGCGTAAAGATCGAAGCTTTACGTGACAATCGAGCCTTAGGATGGTAGATCTAGTGTTTGGAGTGATAGATATGCCTTAAAACGTCTGAATGAGAAATCAGATCGAAGAGACTCTCCGAGTCCATGTCCTGACTCGACGAGTCGGTTAGGGTTTGTCCCGATGAGCTTGATCATGCGGAAGCTCGACGAGTTAGGGGTCAACTTGACGAGCTGAGTTGGGCCTTTCATGAGACTTCTGAGGAAACCAGCTGGACTCGACGATTCACATAGATGCACTCGGCGAGTCAGGTCAAACTTGGACTGTTGACTCGAGTTGACTTTAGGGTTTGGTCAATATGAGTAAGGGAGACCATGGAGTGGTAAAATGGTCTTTTACCCATTCCAAGAGTTAGAGAGAAAGAAAGAACAACCTTTGGTATATTGAGTATTAGTAGAGTATTAATTAGAGATGATAATCCTATGTGTTAGGCGGAGGCTAGTTCGAGATTTCCGAGTACGAGACTTTTACTTGCTAGCTTACGAGGTGAGTCTTCTCACTATACTTACCATGAGTGGTACCTTTGTGTGATTGAGATGTTTATTGTGCTTAACTGTGTATCTTAATATTTTGCATCATGTCTTGTGATTTATGTTGAGTATTGTTATTATGAGATGTTTAAGGCGCCGACTTGATTGTACACACACACCTGCGTCGGAGATATGTTTTTGGAGGATCCTGGATTTGTGTTATAAACAGTTTTTGAGACATCTGTTTTGATAACTTGATGTTTGTGGAAATTGTGATTTTGAAATGAGATATTTGGGTTTTTAAATGAAAATTTTTGTTTGAAAATTTACGGTGTTACAAGTAGTTGTGCATTATAGACTAAATGTACCAATAAGAATTCACATAGCAATCTTTAATTCATACCTACACCTTATTCAACTAGTGTATAAAAAATGTTAACCCTAACATTCCATTATTCAAACCAAATCCGACCTAATTCATTCACTATACAATCACACGGAGTAATTCTTTCATTTTCATATAAACATGAGCTCGTCTAAGCAAGTTGCAACAACGTATGAATATGGTATTTGTAATTGTAACAATGAAGATTGTTCTTGTTATTCCCGTCTTAACCTATTTTTAGAAGTCATCGTCGATCATCTTGAATTCTATCACGGTGGACCACAACTAGGTAAGATGCCCGATAATATATTTCTAGCAGTGGTGGAAGATGTAAAAGGACCAATAAATTGACTATAAAAGAGTTGGATATTTCATGAATGTTTATACATTCCCTTAGTAGAGTTGCAAGATATGCTCAAATTGGTAGCGAGGTACTAAGAAAAATGTAACACTCATAAAAATCATGATAAATTTAAACTTTTTAAAACCAACCAAATTCACAAATTGTTTACAAACATAGTTTTCAAATGCACTTCAACATCAGAGTTCCCAAAATCATAAGTCCAAAACATTAGGATGTGTACGGTCACGCCTTCGTCTTCGCCTTCCCGCAGTCATCTAAAGTACCTGAAACATAACCCAAAACTGTAAGCCAACGCTTAGTGACTTCCCCCAAAATACCGACACATAACCAAATAACATATATATATATATATATATATATATATATATATATATATATATATATATAATAACAGCACACAATGGGTCCACAACTAAAAGTATGGAATACCCCTGAGCCCACAACATAAGTCTGTCTTGCCATCGGGCCCACAACTTATGTCTGACTTGCTCCCTGACCATATCAGTCCTTGGACTGAATACCATTAATCCCTCAGTACGAGTCTGGCATACCGCCCGGTCCTCAGCTCGTATCTGGAATGCTCATGATCCCTCAGTATGAGTCTGGCATGCCCTACCCGGCCCTCATCTCATATCTGGAATGCTCCAGGATTCGTTGGCTACCGCACGGAGCAGTACAACCTCAACCCAACCCAATACAATATGTCAACATATACCAGATAATAAACATAAACAGATAATCATGCAACACAGTCACAGGTAGACCTACAGATCTACCAGTCTTCGATATTAATAACTAGCATAAACATGCATATTTATCCCATACTCAGCATATCAGTGAATAGCAGGATATCAAACCAATGGGCCGGCCTTGGTGCCTTCCACCCGTAAGTACAGTGAGGAAAACTCACCTCGCAAGATGGACAAAAGCTGATGAGGTCTCGACTACGAATCTCAGCTCCAATCGACTCTTATTCCAACCAAATGACCCAAATCTCAATCAAATTCCCGAAATACCCAAAATACCCTTAAGGTAAAACTTGGTCAAACTTGGTAAAATTCAGTTGGTCAAACCAACTAAGTTAACCGAGTCAACCTAGCCGAGTCAGCTCAACTGGATTGACCGAGTGTGAGTATGTGGGGCGTACTCTAAAGGTACGTTGAGCGTACTCCAAACCCTCGCAGTTGACCACCATCGGGGTGGTTGACCTTGTATGCATGGTGTACTCTGAGTACGCGGGGCGTACCCTCACAACCCCAAAAATCTCATTAAGAGCTTAATGTATTAAGCTCTTACGTCCCAACTTCAAATCCATGGCTAACATAGCCCCTAGACTCATAAAGTTTCCAACTTTATGACTTTACATGCCCATTAAGTGCTTAACTCAAGGTCTTAATCCATTAAGACCTTATACAAGATGCATGAAGTAAAACTAACCATTGGGACATCATTTTTATGACTTAAGACCTCTCCTAGGGTCTGAAAGGACAACTCAAATCATCAAAAACATGTCATGCTCAAGATAAGACATTTGGGACCAAAAAGTATAACTAAAACACCCATTTCTAGATCTACATGATTGAAAAACAAACATGCAAGCTTTATACATTAGAAGGCTTGCAAATGAAGAATAAATCCCAGATCCAAAGTGCTCCACTCCTCCAAGATGAGCTTAAGTTCCTTCCTTCTTCTTCTAAGCACACAAACACACACTTTAAGTCTTGAAATGGCTCCATAAGGTGGTTCTAGGTGATGGGTTTTGAGCATTCTAACACTTCCTAAGTGTACATGCAACCCTAATAACCTTGGATCTATGTTTGTCTAATAATCATCCAAAGTTGAATTCCAAGGTTATATTCCTATCTAGCATACATGGGGAACATTTTTAACTTAAATGAAAGATAGAATAACTTACCTTGTTGTTGATTATGATCCTTGAAACCTTGTGAGCCTAGTACCCCAAGTGTGATGCCTCAAATGCTTCACACAACACCAAATGCAAAGGAGTAAACTTTGAGAGAATCTTACACTTGCAAAATCGGCTCTAGCCCTCTTGTTTCTTAGTGTCGCCGATTTTGGTGGAGAATGGGTTTCTTATATAGTGTTGACACATCTAGGGTTACACCATGTAAACCCTAATGTGTCATGACTCTTCATTTCCATGACCCATGGGTTTGTAACTCCCATGGAGCATCCATGGAGCATCCTATGGGTGGAACCCAACTTGATAATCCATGGAGCCTCTTAGCCCACTATATAAGATATGGAAGATTTACATAATCTACCCATATATTTAATTAGTTATCTTTTGATCACTTAATTAATTCTAAATTAATTCTTGATCAAACTAATTAAATAATATTATTAATATATTAGAACTTATAATATATTAATAAACCATAAGTGTTATTTCTCTCATTTTAGTTTATCCAATTGCATGGTGCCATGCAACCCAAATGGACCATGCCGGGTCGGGTCAAGTACATACCATAAATAGTTA